TGTAAGCTCTCCTTAATTAAGTTTACTTTACAATCTGCATTTGGAGAAGCCAGTACATTACAGTGGATATCAATTCTGAGTGTTCTATACAAATTTCAGGTTTTACAGTTAGGATTTTCCTTGCTTTATCTGAAACTATAAGATCAATACTTACTTTCAGTGGTCACTATTCATACAGGTCAGTCAGCATTCAAGAAACCAAAGCAATATCTTACAGCTTTAAAAATCATTAGTACATAATGCCTTACCATGATCAGAAGCTATTGTAAAAGATCCACCAGCTGATGATTCCCATGTATATTGTTCATCATCGTTGTGTTTGGATGTAACAGTTACTTTATCAGCAATGAGGTAGGCAGAGTAGAAACCCACACCAAACTGGCCTATCATAGATATATCTGCTCCTGCCTAGAGATAAAATGATGAGCATTCAGGAAAGAAAAATGCAAACTTTTGACCAGAATTATTAAAAAAAAGTCTTAACAGAATAAGAGATATTTAACATGGACTTAAATGGTCATCCAAACTTATAATTTCAATAGCTAAGACTTTCTAAGTGAATTTTAAATGCTCATTACTCATTCCCCTCAACAAATAAGAAGTTGAAATTAACTAGATTAAGCTGTACAGAAGTCACTGTCAAGTGGATGACCAAGAAAATAACATTTGAATTTATGAAAATGTACATACACACAAATGAGCTTTTGCATTAAACGCTTTCCATTACTGCTTGTCATAAACAAACACTTGAATTAAAGTGTTTTACATTCAGGATGTTTAAACTGATTGGAATAAAAGGCAATACTGATAATGTTTAAAACCCTGGAATATTTAATAAATAAAAATCTGTTGTATCAGTGATATTTTAGTCCTGGAAGTGAATGAGTAAAATTATGTAGTAAACAGAGATGTGTGATTTAATCAATTAATCAGTTTAAACTAATCAACTGAAATTAAGTTAAATTGATTGTCACTAAATAATTAACTAATCTAAATTAGTGCTTCTGATTATTACTGTTTTGGAGTATTCCAACTATCTCAGAAATCAAAATATTGCTCTTACATGATTTTTATCGGAAAAGACCAAGGTAAATAATGGGCTGTGTTCTTGGGTGGTTGGGGGGGGGGGGGTCAAGACCAGTTACACTGTCTTTTGAGAATGACATGATTCAATAACACATTTCTTTTAAATATATTTATTCTCATATTAGTACAATAATACACAATAAATATATACAAATGAACTAGATAGACCTATTATAAAATTCATAACTTTTACTAATGGCTTTTTTTGGTCCTTTTTAATTCAAATGCATCACAAATTCTATTTTCAATTTTAAGTTTTGTAAAAAGAGAATTATAATACAATTACTTACTTACTGTTTTTATGATTAACAATGAATCACTTGACTTACCTGTAAGGCCTCCATGAAAGCTTTAGTGCCAGATTTAGCAATAGTTCCCAGGTTGTTTATCAT